CTGTACAGTCCTTCTGTGAGCATGATACTCTTCATGAAACTTGAAGCTAATATGCATTACAGGCTTCTAACCAATCAAGAGAAACTCATTATTGTCCTAATTTTAAGACGGCGCATGTCTGAAAAAATAACTTTAAACTGCAGCATCATTGCCAATACAATGATCTGCCAACAAAAAAGTACTATGAATCGTATGTGGAAACTATATCATTTCATAATATATGAAGGGTTCATAACAGACAGGCGCAAAGCTATTTGTAACGAGGTTATAACTTAAAAAGGAGGACAATATCAACTTGAAGCATGTGTATAGCTTGCGGTTTGGTAGGAAAAGGACTCATGCAAGACAGTACCAAACTAGTAGCGCATGTACTACTGCTGTTACATCTCAACACTTGCTGTAAGATTTGGACAAGTCTGTCTACAGTTATTTTAGACTTCAGTTTTGTATTAGTTATATTTTATCATTCAGTTAGATAGTTTTCTATACTATACTGGTTACCTCTTCCTACTTTCTGGGATTTACTTTGCAAAAGTTGATTATTTCCATTGCAATAAGCTCCATTGGAGGCCCTTCAATACAGATCTTTGTATTTATATGGTCTCAGATTCTTTTTTTCTCTGCACAGTGGCCTCCTCCACCCAGTACACCACCATTATCCTCAAACACCTGATCCAATTCAATCCAGCATATCAGTTGCCCATCAGACTGTCTAGCAGCCACAATTTCACCACCTGGAAGGCCCAGATTTCCCTGCTGCTCCATGGCATTGGCCTCTATGGTCCCTCTTGATGGCTCTACACAGTCCCCTCCTGAAACAGTCTTCATCAACTATCCAAGAGTTGATAAGGATTGGTTTGGTCGAGACAATTTCCATTGCATCAAGTATCTCTTCACACCTCTTTGTCGAAAAAATTGCAAACCTGCATCTTCAGTCTCAATCACCATCTCAGTCAGGTCTCCAAAGACACAAAATAATTGCTGAATAGCCGCGACAGATTCAATCTCTCTCTGATGAAGTTGTATTAGCAGGTTTTCCCATCATTAATGAAGAAGTTGTGGTGAAATTACTCTGCAACCTTGGTCAAGAGTTTCCTGAGATCTCAACAGCCATACCGGCATGAGACTATCCAATTATTTATGAGGAAATTTTTTATAAGCTACTTGATCATGAACTATTCCTCAAGCATGAGAATCTTAAGAAAATGACCACACAGGTCACAACAGCTGTTGCTCCACAGGGCCGCACGCAACACTTGACACCCACCCAACACCAACAACAATTGACATCCACCAAACAGGATGTTCAGTCAACCCTAATGCAACTTCTCCAACTAAACTGCTGTCAACTCTGCGACTGCTTTAAACACAGCAAATGTCTGTTGGCATACGGTCCCATAACCACTTTGCAGCAAAAGCAAATTTAGTTGAACAAACAACACCAAATGACCACAATGCTTTTCTTTCGGAGAAGATTCATGAAGACGTGTATATATCTCAACCTCCCGACAATGAGAAGGCGAATCATCCTGAATTTTTCTGCCATCTCCAAAAGGCTTTTTACGAATTCCAATGAGCTCCCAAATCTGGGTAGGAAGCATTCACTAATTCTTTAATTCAAATGAGATTCTAGATGTCTGAGTGTGATGCTCTCTTTTTGTCCTGCACAATATGAGAGTTACTATTTATATTCTGATCTATGTGGATGATCTCATACTCCTGGGTAATAATGAAACAGTCATTCGACATGTCATTACTCTCTTCTGAAAAAAGACTTCTCTAAAGTATCATGGCTTACAGCACTCTTTCTTGGACTTTGAGCTTGAGGTACATTGGGATGCCTATAGTTTGTTTCTGAGTCAATCTAAGTACATACAAGAAGTGGTAATGGCAATCAGATGCATAACTGCAGAGATTTTGTGAACCTACTGGTTGAATGACAGAGCACCCAAAACCAATGGCAAAGAGTACATGAGTAAGCTAGGTGAGCTTCAGTACGTTCATATAAAGCCGGACTTGATATTACATAATGAGTAAACAAGTTTACTCAGTCCAACACCACTCCCATGGTTCACGGGAAGGAAGTTAAGTCTATCCTTCAGTATATTAAAAAGGCATCCCAATTCAGCAATTGTATTTCCCCACAGCAATCTCTCTATACCTATGTAATATGTTGATGCTGATTGGGCAGGTGATCTGCACTCGTTCTCTGGTTACATTGTTTATCTATACATAACACCTATATCCTGGTATTCTCATAAGCCACCACCTTCTCTCGCTTCTCAACTGAGATTGAGTATTGTTTTTTGCTTCTGCCTTGTTGGAAGTGAACAGGTTCAGCCATATGCTCAATGATTATCATGTGTTGCTCTGCTGCGCCTATGATAGTTTATGATAACCTTCGAGTCATGTACATTGGCGAGAACATAGTACATCATACCAAAATGAAGTACCTTGAAGTTAATCTTCACTTTGTTTAGAATCAAGTCAGAAATGGCCCACTCTGAGTATTCGCACATCCACACTGCTGATAGATGGGGAGATTCGGTGAGATCAAACTTTTGATTCATCAACTTGTAGAACCACTCATCATATGCTGTTCAAACCGGCCTTCCAGTGCACCAATTTGAGCTAGAGAATCTATTTCCGATAGACCCTTGGCTCAAAAGAATAACCCAACACTAAAAAAAGAATATCTACAATTCCTAAAGTTCCTGCCTTTACTTCAATACCACAACCAAATAAACTCAATACACAACTTCACATGATTTCAGACCTCAGAGCCAAAAATCAAAACTTTCAACTTTCAATTCAACAATTTTACAAAATAATCCAACAACAACACCCAGCATACCCAGTGTAACCCCACAAATAGGGTCTGAGGAGACCAACAGACCTTACCCTGCTCCGTTTCCAATAGACCCTCGGCTCAAAAGAATAATCCATTACTAATAATCATAGCATGCAATTGAATCAGATAATCAGAAACCCTTTAAGCTTTTCAAATCAAATAAGAGTAACACAACTCAAAAAAAAAAAAAAAAAACTACAGTTGTGCATGGAAACATTAAAATTCCTACCTCGCATCAAAAAAAATAATTCTGGAACAAGTAATTAGAACTCCGATTATACACCAATTCAATCAAAATTCGATAAAAATAACCAAAAGGGTATAAGAAATAAATACCTAAAAAAAATTCAAAATCCAATGAATTCAGAAACGATACAGCTCCACATGATTCGAACTCATAAAAGAGATGAAATCAGAGTTCAGAGAATTCATCGGCGCCGTCGCCGGCGAATCGGAGATGAAAAATGAACGGTGTACGGTCGCAACTTTTTCTGTTGGCTGCTTAATTTTGTAGTACAAAAAAAATAAGTACATCAGATTATAACAATCTGTTATAATTAGGATTCTTATTCAACCAAAATAAAAACAAATTGAAAATCCTTAAAAATATATTTGAAATATTAAATTTCATAATTTAACTATTCGTTATTTTATTTACCTCCATAAATTATAATATATCTGAAATATTGAGTTAATTTATACGTGCATCTATCGCCAAGTGGGGATAATTTGGTCAACTCGGTGTTATAATACTTAGATAAGAGTTTAGATAATTTTGGATAGTTAAAATAAGAAATTCATAAAAATTAACAGTTAAAATATAATTTTAAATATTAGTTCAAATTAAAATCAAATAAGGAAAAAAATAAAGGAAAGTTACTTTGACTTTAGTTTAGAAAGGTATATATATTAAATAAATTTAAATGAAAACAGATATTAGATGCTGTTTAGTTTGATACAATATTTTTTTAAAGTTTATTTTATTAAATATTAAGCTATATTAAATTAAAGTTAAATATTTTGTATTAACCAAAATAAATATAAACAAATAAACAAAAAATCGGAATGATGAAAGTTAATTTATTTTGTTTGATTTGGTATCAGAATTCATTATTTACAATCCATTAACACCATAGAACCTAATAATAAATTTGTTTTTAAATATTTGTTTCTTTATAAAGGTAAATTTTTTAATTTTTAAAAAAAAGAAATTTGTATTGCTTGAATTATTAGATTGTTAGTTAAAGGTGTCTTTGTTGTGGAAAATAATAATTTTTTTATAAATGTTTGGTTGACATGTTTTTTCTTTTTAAAAAAATCATTTTATTTTTTTGAAAAAAAAAATTACAATGACAGTATTATATAATACTCAATGTAACTACACAAAATAAAATTTGAAAAATAAAATATATCAAAAAAATATTATTTCTTAAGATCCTCGACGACAACTTATTGATATTTCAAATTTATTATCTCCTTCAATTTTTTAATAACCCCAAAATCCCCACCTTCCCCATCCTCGAATCTTATTAGTGTTACCCCAAAAATGAATAGTTTTAAATAATATTATTTTTCTTATTTATTTACTTTTACTACATCAATAAATACATGAAAATAATAATATTTTATAGAAAATATTGTTTTTATACCAAACAAGTGCTTAAAAGTGAAAAAAAAAAAAGTAACAAAAAAGCAAAGTGGGAATATGACTGTGAAACTGTGAAGGATCCCACTTTATAAAAAGGCAATGCAATTTGATGGTGAAACAACAACTTTTATTTTTTATTAAAAGAACGATATCGATATAGATTTATTTAAATGCGATTTTCGTTATATTTCATCGAAATATTGATGCTCTCATATGAAATAGATAAGATCAATATAAATACTTAACAGTATAATTGACTTTGTTCAATATAGCTCAATTCACTAGAGCCTGTGAGCGTAATGTTTTATCTAACTCAAAGGAATTAACGAGGATCCATACAAATGGTGGAAGATGGTTATCATCAATTTGTGTTGTAAGGTGTTGAGTTACATCCCACAACGAACACAACTCTCATATTTAATTATCATTATTATAACTCTAAATAAATAGACCGTTGATAATAAGCCCACTCGAATTAGGTCAACAAATCGAATGGCGATATTTAATAAGACATTTAAGAAAAAGATAAATTTACATAAATACTTTAAAGACATAAATTATTTCTATATGCATTTTTGCAGGGAACAATTCGATTCGAATAATTAAATGGACAAAGACAAGTCACTACTAAAGCAAATGTCCATATACCAACAACAACAAAAAAAAATCCCTAAGGCATCATATTGAGATCCCTCCTGTTTATTAGAAGTTTCAAGTTCGACCCCTTGAAAAGAAAAACTTCTTTAACGGGTCTTTTCGATGTGAATCTGAATTAGTCGAACCAGTAAATTTCAGACTGTGATGAAATTAAAGGGAAACTATTACCCCTTTTCTAACCTCAGGTTCATGTGATCTTTTAGCTTCTAATTTTCATTTCTTTGTCGTTTTCGTAGCTTCTTACTCTGCTGTGTCCTCTGCAACCACCTCCTTCGCGGTCAAAAGGTTTCACACAGCTACTTTCGAGATCAATTGCTCTATCAGCAGTTGATTTTTCTGTTACTATCTGCCGCTTTTTGTTCCTTGATCATCGAATTATTCTGTCGTAGTTACTGTTCCGAATGCTTTGTCATGCTCTCTATAGTATTTTGTCATTACTTCTTCATTTCCAGCAATTGAAAAGGCTATCACAGGCAAAGAGTTCAGATTTGAGAACCAATGGTCAAAATATTACTCACACCAATTCTCCATAAATAGAGAGGGTCAATATCTAGCTCTACTTCAATTGGAACTGGACAGGAAGTATATGATAAAACAAAATCGCTTACTGGAGCACGTAAAATTTTCTCGTCTACTCCAATTTGTTTTTTCACCGATACCCTTGACCTGTCCTTCAGCTTGACGCTCAAGGTGAGTCCACATACGGGTTTGCCCAGTTGTGCCAATGATATCTGAAAAAATTCAATTGGTTATGCGGAAGTACAAAAACTACCTTCAGGATGCAATAACCGATAATTAAAGTAGACTTGCCTGTAAAGATGCTTTCACAGGTTTCCCCTAGGTGAAAATATCCAGTGCGGGAGCAGTGAGATCATGCACTCTAGCATATCCACCAAAAGTTTTCTCCAAATTACACAACTGTCTAAAAAGAGAACCATTAAACAATCCGCCTACGGATTACCTCCAGTTGAATTTACCCTTCTTTCAAGTATAGAATTAGATTAAGTACTACAACAATTAAAACAAAAGAAAATCAAAGACAAGTAGCTAGGTGGACAAAAATCTGCAGAAGACTGAAAGCATTGCAACAACAACAGCAGCAAAACACAGTGTAATACAACTAGCGGGGTCTAGAGAGGATCGAGTGTATGCAAGACCTTAACCGTATCTTCGAAGGTAGAGAAGCTGTTACAGATAGACCCTCGGCCAGAACAAAAGCATTGTAGGGACAGAACTAACTTAAAACTAAAGTAAAGATGCAAGAAAAGTATTCATAAAATGAGCAAAAATTGCTGAGAATACATTGTCTTGGGTCATCTTTCACCATAAAAAATAAGTTCATTAACAGTATTCACCTACGAGGAAAAGTGCCTTTGCATTTATAAATTACTTACCACACTGTACAACGAGATGAAATAAATAGGATGCCAAATGAATGGAGAGAACAATTTAAAGGAGACTGACTTCTAGCTTCAGATAATTCAAGCTTTCTCCTCCTATGTTACTTGTTGAGTAACCCGAAGAAAATCATTGAAACTACGAACCTAAGCATGAAGAGCATCTGAACTTGAGAGTTTGTACTTCTAGTTCAAATTTAACCAATTATTATGAACACTCCTACCCAATTTTTCTCAAACTTTTCTAGTTAATTATGCTCGTCTATGCAGAGCGCTACTCCAACAGAGGCTAGTAGGCAAAAATAGAAAAAAACATCAAAAGAATTGGTTCAAAAAGAGGGGGGTTCAGTAATTTGACAAACAATACATGACTGTCCTCAATGATTGTTCAACTCTAAAATAATATCATTTATTTTATGCTTCAATTGAGGAGAAAGTAAGGCCAGTCTATTAAAGAATTCAGACCACTATTTCAGGACATTATTGAAGTTCAATTTATGGAAATTGCAATGAAATGAATATAACTTCCAATTTCAAAGCCGCGATATTTATACAAAAGTAAGTTCATCCTAAGAAATGAAGACATTCCAATAAAACATAAAAATATGCATCTATAGATTGATGCAATTAGAAATTTCTATTGGTCAATATGTATGTGCGAGTTACATTTTAAAAAGTCAAAGCTCAATATCATTGTGTAATTTATCCAACCATTGACGAAATTGAGAGTTAGAGAAAAACGATACCTTCAGGCAACTATAGTATTTCCTTTCTTCTTCCTAAAAATAGTTTCATCAACTTATGTAGAAATTGCTCAAATCGTCTCATGAGTAAGCAAATTCAGAAAAAGCTGCAGATCTGCAACAGAAATATACACAGGTAAGAAAAGTGGGAAGAAACATCTTTTGAATGTTTCTTTTCTTATCTTCTTTCATATTTACAAATCGTTTTGTATTTAGACAAAGAAGAGAAAAAACTATAATCTAAAGAGATCAGAATATGATGTAGATAAACAACACTGTCAGATTTTCCTCTATTTTAATGGACTAGTGGTAATTCACTGTAACCAAACTAACCTTTCCTGGCTAGCTCTTTTCATGAAACTTAACCACATGCAAGACACATGGTTCTATATTGTACATCAGCATAGAGAAATCTGAGAAGGAACAGGGAAGATGTAGTATGTGCACCTAACTTCACTATCATAGATTCCAGTATCACTGACATGGTTCAACTGCAAGCATTTCTAAGTGATACCTCTTCTTGTGGTCATTCACTACATCATACAAAGAAACATATATCAGTAACCAAAATTTCTCTTTATTCTTGTAGGTAAAATGTCAAGAGTGAATACTCTATATTACACAACAGCAGTGTATTTTTTAAATTTGGGTGCCCCTAAAAGTAAAATCAACTCAATATTGCACTTCACTTCAACTGCTCACAAGTTCCTAGAAGTTTAACCATCAAGGCAGCTGATGTTAAATCATCAAAACAATCATAGTACAGATCCATACTGAGTAAAAAAGCATTGCCTTCAAAAATCAGTTTGAATTTCTTAAGATTATACCTCTGGAACTTTCAGTCCAGAGCAGCCAGATGAATGTTCATCTTGGGTTAAACAACTTGAAATCTCAGTGATTTTGGCATTTCATTGAATATAACAGGCCTAAAGTATTGAGTTCCGAGAGCTGCAAATCCCATAGAATTCCAACTTCCAATTAAACCATCTTAAAATAGAAAATATTTTAGAAGGCAATCATAAGTTCCATGATATCTGTTTGTTTGAAGCAGAAATATTAATTTCTCCAGGACAAATCTTTCAATCTCAACTAGTCAATCTAAAGTTTGATGATCCAAAAATATATAGAATAGTATTTATTGGACAAATAAGCCATAACAATAACATACCCAGTGTAGTTACACAAGTTGGGGTATGGGGAGGTTAGGGCGTACACAGACCTTAACTATATGGAGGTAGAGAGGTTGTTTCCGAAAGACTCCCAGCTCAGGTAATGCAAATCAAAGAACATACCAAAGGAAAGAAATAAACCATGTACTAAGGAAGCATCACGTAGCATATAGGGAAGGAAAACAGTAACATCAGAAAAATCATGTGATAACCAAAACAGGAGACACAAACAGTAGTTGCAAGACAGGAAACTTTTGCAAAGACTGTTGATTGTAAAGCAGAAACAGGTACGGGCGATATTTGACAAACGCATACAGAATATGTAACCACATAGGTGTTCCACCAGAAAATGCAAAAACATATAACTAGATGGGTGTTCATAGATACAAACCATTCAGGATACTGTGCAACCTATGGGTTGATTGCATTAATAAGAGTCTGAGATAAATCTCGGTCAAGAGTAAAACCCTTTTCCATCATCTGATCCCAGATTGCACAAGCCACTGAGAGGTTCTTCCCCTGTATGAGACCTCCAATAATCAATTTGAAGGTGATTTCATCAGGATTTAAACCTCTGGTTTGCATATCTTCATAAAGACTCAGTGCTTCTGTTACTCTAGAAGCCTTGCAAAATCCACTGATTAGTGCATTATACGAAATAACATCAGGAGCAACACCCTGTTCCACCATATCACGGAAAATGCTCTCAGCCACCCCTAATTTACCTGTCTTGCACAGGTTATCTATAATAGAAGTGTACAGTACACGATCAGGAAAAAGGCCCATGCTGGTCATCTGATCAACAAGTGCCTTAGCTACACTAGAATTGCCTTCTTTTAGAGAAGCTTCTATAAGAATCGTAAAAGTTACAACGTCAGGGAGAATTTTTTTTTGCTCCATCTCCTTGAAGAGAATGTATGCCTTCTTACTTTGGTCTGTCTTGCAGAGTGCTCTAATAATAGTATTGTAAGATACAACATCTACTAATCCTTTGGTTTCCATCTTGTCAACCATTAACTTATAAGCCTTATCTAATCTATTCGCTTTGCAGAAACCTCTGAGAAGCTGGTTATAGCTGTAACCATCAGGTTCCAACCCAATTCCTTCCATCTTCTCGATCAACTTCATCGCCTCTTCCAACATAAGCTCGTTACAACAATAATTCAAGAACACATTATAAGTAACCAAATCTGGTTCACACCCGTTTCTCTTCATGAATGTCTTAATTGCTTGTGCTTTGTCAATCCTACCAGCTCGACAAAATCCATTTATCAGCGTATTGTATATTTCCGTGTTGAATTTGACTTGACCCCTTAGAATACCCAAAGTCAGCTCATAAGCCAAATCAACCTTACCACTCCCACACAGCCCAAAAACAAGAGCTTTACAAGCCTTATTGTCCGGTCTTAAACCTTTCCTAATCATCGTATGCCACATTTCAACAGCATTATCGAAACGTCCAATCCTACACAACCCACTAATAACAATAGTATAACTCACTACATCTGGCTCTCTCCCTTTCTCTCCCATTACTCTAATCAACTCCAAAGCAATATCCACCAAATTTTCACTACACAAAAGATTTAAGTACATATTATATGCCCAAAAGTTGGGTACAATCCCAACCCTATCCATATCATTTAATAACCTACTAATAAGATCAAAGTTCTTAACTTTACACAACCCACAAATAAATTTTGAATATGTCAATGAATTTAAAGAAAACCCAACTGGTTTCATCTCATTATAATACCCCTCCGCTAAATCAAAATGCGAAGTACGAATCAAAACACCAATGATTCTATTGTAATCAATGCTGAAAACTCTACAATCTGATTGAGTCATTTCGTCAAACACTTGGAGTGCTTCGTTTACCAAACCAGTTTTCACGTAACTTGAAATGCGAGTACGATATATGAGTCTATGCTTACCAAGAGCTTTATACATATCAATCAATATAAACTCTTCAAAACCCAAAGCATACTATTATTTTTTCAACAACAGTATAACAGTAGAATTTGTGGGATTTGCAATGAGATTGGTAAGGAGAAACTGGTTTTGGCAATGGAGAAAAATGGCAGAAAAAGGAGAGATTTGGGGGCTGAAATCAATGGAGAAATCAAATTTTCAAATGAAATTTTAGGGCAAAAAGGATCAATTTGATAGTCACCATGTTAGAGTTTTTTGAGTTTTATATTATGAGTTGCTAAAAATTTAATGGAGTAATTATTTAAATCAATAATATATATTTTTGAAATTTATAAAATTAGAATAAAATAAAAATAAATATTTGATGAGTAAAGAGACATATAATATTACTATTAAATACATTTTATTAATTCATTGCTCAAAAAAAGTTTGGACAATTGTTTGCTGAAAATTTGAAATCTAATCATTATAGTGACAAGCATTATAGTTGTAA